ATAATAATAATAATAATAATAATAATAACAATAATAATAATAATAATAATAATAACAACAACAACAAGTGACTTCCTGTATTATTAACACGAGTCAACATCAAGTTTTAGGCACAACACTCAGACAAAAATGTTGAGTAACATGTAAATTAGTGTAGGCTACCTGACCTCCCCCCCCTCACCTCCCTCCCCACCTCCAGACCACATTCCACATCAATCACCACCACTCACCACCATCACCACCACTCATCACCACCACTATCACCACCACTATCACCACCACTATCACCACCACTACCACCACACTATCACCACCACTATCACCACCACTATCACCACCACTATCACCACCACTATCACCACCACTATCACCACCACCACTATCACCACCACTACCACCACCACCACCACCACACCCACTATCACCACCACACTACCACCACCACCACTATCACCACCACTACCACACCACTACCACCACCACCACCACCACTACAACCATCCAGTTTCCATACAACATGACCGTTTTTGTGTGTGTGTGTGTGTTTTTAGGTTTGGGTTAGGTTAAGGGAAGAGTAGGGAGGAAGGAAGGAGGGAAGAGAAGGAGGAAGGAAGGAAGGGAAGGAAGGGAGGAAAGACAGAGAGAAGGAAGGAAGAAAAAAAGGTGTTGACGTGTATTGCCTTGGCAGCTTCACCATGGATCAGCGTCTTGGTGACTCCTCCCTCCCTCCCTTCCTTACCCTCCCTCCTTCCCACCTCCCTCCCTCCCTTCCCTACCCTCCATCTCTTCTCTCCTCCTCCTTTCCTCATCCCTTTATATCTCATCGTTCCCTTCCCTACTTCCTTCTCTTATTTTCCTTCCTCTCTCCTTTCTGCTTCCTTGCCTGAGAATATGGTGGGAGAGAGAGGAGGAGAGGAGGGAGAGAGGGAGAGGGAGGGAGAGAGAGGGAGAGAGGGCAGGAAAGATGAGAAGGGTGAGTGAGAAACGAGAGAGAGAGAGAGAGAGAGAGAGAGAGAGAGAGAGAGAGAGAGAGAGAGAGAGAGAGAGACACGTAAATCATAATCAAGGGTGGACAAGTAAAGCCTCGCCAGACACACACACACACACACACACACACACACACACACACACACACACACACACACACACACACACACACACACATAGAGGAATAGTCTCTCTCTCTCAGGACCGTGATTCACAAGTCAATGATCGCAGCTTTTTTCCGTCACCTTTTTCACCTTTTTTTGGATCAGCTTGAAATTCGTGAGAGTATGACGGGGGAAACTGACTCTTGTTCTAAAGTTGAGTGTGTGTGTGAGGCCTCGGTCCCGAGAGAGAGAGAGAGAGAGAGAGAGAGAGAGAGAGAGAGAGAGAGAGAGAGTTCGCCACCGACAGAGCATGAGAATTGGTCAAGTGAAGCGAGAACCTGTCGTCGGGTCGGCTGGGTCCTGCCCCTGAACGTCATTTGATCCCTCGCTCTATATGTCCTCGACGAGAAAGAATTTAAGGAGACGTTTTATATAGAGTCTCCTCGTGTTGACTGAGGTGCTGGGCGGCCATGAATATTACTTTATTATTATTATATGTAAGTAAATACTCCTGTGTGTATTATATGTAGGTAAATATTGTACTGTTGTGTGTGTGTGTATTATATGTGTACGTAAATTTATTTACAGAATCATTAGACACCGGAGTTGTGTCAGACTTGTGGAAACAGGCAAATGTAGTACCCATATTCAAAAAGGGAGACAGAGCATCAGCGTCAAATTACCGGCCGATCAGTTTGACGTCAGTAGTGGGGAAATTTCTTGAATCAATTATAGCAAATAGCATCCGATAGCATTTAGAGAAAAGCAAATTAATCTGCGACTCTCAACATGGGTTTACAAAGGGAAAATCTTGTCTAACAAATCTGTTGACGTTTTTTAGGAAAGTCTTCGAGGTAGTAGATAATGACGAAAATTACGATGTTATTTACTTAGACTTTAGCAAAGCGTTTGACAGAGTACCGCATCAGAGGCTTCTGAGAAAAGTTAAGGCTCATGGTATCGAGAGGAAAGTTTTAAATTGGATAAAATCATGGCTCACCGATAGAACGCAGACGGTCAGCGTAGATGGTGTTAAATCTGAGTGAGGCCGTGTAACCAGTGGGGTTTCCCAGGGGTCAGTACGAGGCCCACTCTTGTTCATAATCTACATAAACGATCTAGATACTGGGATCAGCAGTGACATAAGCAAGTTTGCGGATGACACCAAAATAGGGCGGCAGATTAATTCAGGGCAGGATGCAAATGCATTACAGGAGGATCTAAATAAACTGCAGGGGTGGTCTGAAATGGCAAATGAAATTCAACACCAGCAAGCGCAGCGTACTTAATATTGGAAGAACAAATACTGTCAATGTATACAGCCTTAACAACATCAACCTAGAGAAGTCGACTTGTGAAAGAGACTTAGGGGTACTTGTAAGCCCGGACCTACGGCCTAGAAAACAGTGCGTTAATGTTCGAAATAAGGCAAACAGATTATTGGGTTTTATATCTAGAAGTGTAAGTAATAAGAGTGCAGAGGTCTTATTGCAACTATTTCTTGCGCTAGTCAGGCCGCACCTCGATTATGCGGTTCAGTTCTGGTGCCCTTATTATAGAATGGATATCAATTCACTGGAGTCGGTGCAGCGAAGAATGACGAAAATGATTCCGGGACTTAGAAACCTTCCATATCAAGATAGATTAAAGAAACTAAACTTGCATTAGGTTTAGGAGGAAGATAGGAAGGAACTGGTTCACAAATAGGGTGGTGGACGAGAGGAACAAGCTTAGGAACTTTGTAGTAAGTGCTGGAACTTTGGAAAGTTTCAAAGGGAGGCTGGATAGATTCATGGATGATAGAGAGTGGTTGTAACTCTCGACAGGAGCTGCCATGCACAGGCCAACCGGCCTATTGCAGACTCCTAATTTTCTTATGTTCTTATGTACATACTCTTGTGTGTGTATTATATGTAAGTAAATACTCCTGTGTGTGTATTATATGTAGGTAATACTCTTGCGTGTATATGTTCATTTCTTCTTCATTTAATATACATAGTATTTTTTTTTTTACGGGAATTAGCCCACCCAGGCACAGGTCACTGACCCACATTGGGGCCTGGGGGGCGAAAATGTAATAATAATAATATAATAATAATAATAATAATAATAATAATAATAATAATAATAATAATAATATTAATAATAATAATAATAATAATAATAATAATAATAATAATAATAATAATAATAATAATAATAATAATAATAGTAATAGTAATAATAATAATAATAATAATAATAATAATAATAATAATAATAATAATAATAATAATAATAATAATAATAATAAAGAACCATAAAGAAATACAAAATGAAAAAAAGATCAAAAGTGAGAAACGATAAATGTATGTTGTGTTGTCAATGGTAAGAGAAACAATTGAGATCCTGCAATTGTGTGTAAATGAGGCAGAAAGTCAGATCATCAACCTGGGACTTGGTCACAATTTTCGTGATGCCTTATGGCAGCAAAATCTACCATAGACAACACATTATGCCGCCAATATCTTCCCAGGCGGTAGTACCTCCCTGTTTGGTAGCTGCCTACTACCTACTACCTTAATAATTGAGGTAATATTATTGCCAGTACAGGTATTACCACAGGTCACACACACACACACACACACACACACACACACACACACACACACACTACTACTACTACTACTTTGCTGTCACTCGGAATCACGTATGACGATCATCCAGCTATGATACAATGATATGAGTTATTAAGGATGTCACCTAGGTTAGTGAGTTTTGAGGTGACTAAAGAGGCCGATACGGGGCCGGCAGAGTCGTACAAATTCGTTGCACATGTGGAGGGCTACATCTAGTGCGGGAGGGGCGGTGGCAGCGTCTGCCTCGGTTTGCAGTCGGGCCAACTCGAAAGTACCTACACCTTCTCGTGTGGTGCTCCTCCAAGCGTAACGGTGTGGAGTAATCGTCTCCCAGGTGAGGGGGTCGATTTGGTACTTTTTCAGGTTTGTCTTAAGACTTTCATTATACCTTTTCAGTTGCCCGCCGGCGTTACGTTTACTATTCGTTGGGTGACTGTAAAGTAGCTGCTTTGGCAGTCTACTGTCGTCCATGCCCTGTAACACACACACACACACACACACTTCAAGAACAAACGAAAAAAGTAACTTCTTAAAATAGGAATGTAGGAACTTGGAATAATCAGAAATGACTCGATTGGAATAGGAATCGGGAATAGCAAGAATCACTGAGAACCGGAATCTTGCCTTAGTAATTATTCCTCCCAGGGCTGGCAGCGTTGTCGGTCCCCAGCAGCGGGTACACGAGGGTGGTGTGTGGATGTGGGGGGATGTGGATTTGTTCTTGATGTGGATGTAAGTGTGAAAGGATGTGGATGTGATCTTGGTGTGGGTGTGAATGTGGGCGTGGATAGGGTGTTGATACGATGTAGGTGTGTACGTGGGTGTGGATGTGGTGTTGGTGTGGATGTGGTGTTGGTGTGGATGTGTTCTGGGTGTGAATGAGTTGGATGTATGTGATGTGTTCTGTGTGATTATGGACGTAGGTGTGGAGATATGGCATGGTGTGATGGTATGGTTCTTTAACTTTTCTTTCCTCTCCTCTACATAATCAAAACATAAGAACATAAGAATAAAGGAAAATTACTATACTGAGCAGTCCCATTTACACCCAACCCCTATTGCTCATATATCCATCCAACCTATGTTTGAAGCTATCCAGC